AGCCTTTTGCTAGGTTGATAAGCGTAGACTGCCCTTTTATGGAAATGCAATGTCAAATCCACTGCAAACATTAGAGGTCATTAAATAACTGAAGTATGATAATGTTTGATTGTTACTGCTTTATTGATTTAATGCTTCATCTGTTCTCATTTAAGGAAATGTAGAATTTCATCCCTCTTATCCACATGTTAACGTCTCCCTGGGAAGCTTGTTAGATGATCAGCAATGGCATTCAGCTGTCATAGAGCGCTTCGGCAGAGAGGTCAATTTTACTGTTGACAGACATGTGCATCATTTCTTCATGAAGGGAGAGATATATTATTTGGACATTGATTATGAGGTGTGTATTTTATATTCAATAATTAAATAATGATGAAATATTGATTTAATCACAGAAAACAAAAAAGTATTTAATCCTTTGGTCGTAGACTGTGTAGCCCTCAGGCATTAAATAATCCTCATTAAATAATTGCATGGAACAAGTTTCAAACTGAGTCTGGTGTAGACATCCCATTGGTATTTGTAAATTTGCCAGAATGTGTGTTTATTGTTCATATAAATTATTCTTCCATTTTTTTCAGAGGGAAACAATAAGTACATAATTTGTGCTTTTTATGTGCAAAATGCATTACAATAGAATAAAATTAATTTAAAATGAACAAAGAATATTATGTAAAGGGTATTCTGAAACACATGCTTACAATTAAAAAAAGTATACATTTTGTGGCAAAAGAAAGCCTATTTTTTAATACATTCAGATATTTTTTCTGAGAGAAATACAGTAAATAAATGAAACAGGTGAACCTTTTGAATGGATCAAATTATTTTAGGAAATTAAATATGTAAACAATATGAACTAAGATTCATCATTCGACTTTAAATAACATAGTTAAAAGGCCTGTTGTGCTTTTTTTTTACTTTGGTCTGCAGTTAAAATTCAAATAGTGTATTCAATATTTTGGTTTTCAAATGGTTAATTAGCAGCTTTTTATTCCTGTAACTTTCCCATTAGTCCCTTAAACCTAACTAATCTAACACATCAAAATAGAAGGCAGACAAGCATGATATATAAAAAAAAAAACTAATTGCCACCAACATCTGTTACATATAAAGCTTTTTCCCATAATGTTAACTGTAAAATTATTAAGAATTTCTATCCCTTTGCAAGCAAACCTGGAAAGGCATGTCCAATTAAATTATTTAACAAGTATATTAAAGATGTTCTGGGAAGAAAATAAAGTATTTCATATACTTAAATTTATTATTTGAAATATAATTAATTTGTCAGATTTTCTTTTGTGTATATTAAGCATGATTTAAAGGAACAATATATGCACCCAGAACACGTCATCACAACACCCAGAACACTTCATCACAACACCCAACTTCATCAACACCCAGTACCGCATTCACTTTCATATTCTTGTACTACTACCATCAAAGGGTGGGGCCTCCATGAATCAGATGTTGTTTCAGCACATCCCACAGATACTCAATCAGATTTAGAGCTGGAGGCCAAGGCAGCACCTTGAACTTTTTGTAATGTTCTTCAAACCATTCCTGAAACATTTTTGCAGTGTGGTAGGATGCAGTATCCCAGAGCACAACACAGACTCTTTCGACCTGCCTTCTTCCCATTGTGCATGCTGCTGCCATCTCTTCCCTAGGTAAACGATGCACACACACCAGGCCATCCACCTGATCTAAAGGAAAATGTGATTATTCAGACTAGGCAACCTTATTCCATTGATCCTGTTCTGATGCTCACGTCCCCATTAAATCTGCTTTCAGCAGTGGACAGGGGTAATTAAAGGCACTCTGGCCAGTCTGTAGCTACACAGCCCAATACACAGCAAACTGTGATGCACTGTGTGTTCTGACACCTTTCTATCATGGTCAGCATTAAAGGGGCACTGTAGGCACCCAGCCCAGCTCTGTATTCCTGGCACTACAGTATCCCTTTAAGCCTTTCAGCAATATGAGCCGCAGTAGAGCTTCTCTGTATGACCAGGCTAAAAGGGCTAGTCTTTGCTCCTCACATGCATCAATGAGTCCTGGGTGTCCATGACCCTGACGCCGGTTCACTAGTTGTCTTTCCTTGCACCACTTTTGGTAGGTACTAACCACTGCATACAGAAAGACTTGCTGTTTTGGAAATAGACTGATCCAGTCATCTAGCCATGAGTATTTGGCCCTTGTCAAAGTCAATTAGATTTGTTTGCCCATTTTTCTTTCTTTCAACACATGAATTGCAAGAACTGATGATTCATTTGCTGCCTAATGTATTCCACCCCTTAAAAGGTGCCATTGTAATGATATAATAAATGTTATTCACTTCACCAGTCAGTGGTTTTAATGTTGTTGCTGATCAGTGTATCTAATGCAAGAAGGGGAACTTTTCTTTTAGGCATGTCAAAGCATTTGAAAATGGTTTGAATACATCCTGTGGTAGGGTTCCAGGTCACCCCTGGCACCATAAACACTACAATACATTGTAGTTGTGATGGTGATTAGATAATGTGTTTAACCCCTTAAGGACCAAACTTCTGGAATAAAAGGGAATCATGACATGTCACACATGTCATGTGTCCTTAAGGGGTTAAACTATTTTTCTAGCCCACAATGCTAGCCAAAGCCATAGAGCATCTGATATCTCCCCAAATAGCTCACCAGAAATCTCATCCCATCTCCCCAAATAACTCACCAGAAATCTGACTTGTTTGGAGCCTTAAGAAAAGAAATCCCAGCCTATGTTCAAATATGCACATCATGAGATGGATATGTTAAACTCTATGCTTATTTGTTTATATCATTATTTTAAACCTCTGCATGAAATTCATGTAAATTCCTGGTCCTTTGGTTATCACTTTTCTCTTCTGAATCCAGGGTACTGGAGTTTATAACTTTATGATGGGGAACCCAGTTCAATCCACACAGCTAGAGTTTCAGCTGTAATATTCTGGAAGATACAATAATAAACAATATCTATGAACTTTGGCTTTCCTATAAGTTAGTCTGCTAAACTCATGAAAATAAAGAACAAACAGGAAACCTTGATAGCTTGTTAGTAAACACTGTGCGTGACAATTATATACATGGGAACTAACAAACACTATAACCTAACCACGTTGGCCAATGATAAATGTAATAAATATACAGATGTTCAATACCAGTCTACATACCATTTCTGCTATCCCACAAAAATATTAACATAACATTAAAGTATAATATAACAATATGCAATGTATAGTCTAAATACAACTTATAGCTATAGAAGTAAGAAAAACTAAGCACAAACCTGTTTTAAACACACTCTACTGGCACTCGATAGATAAATAAAAAAAACCCTGAGATGCTCGATGTCATGAGGTTGGCAAGTCTATTCTTAGATTATGGTGTTAGAAACTTGATTACCATACAATACCTTGTCACCAACTTGAATTCTTAAAACAGATATATAGTAATTTCTGCTCATTTGTTATGTGTTAATAATTATGTATTTAGCATCTCACATTTGTTTGATATATACTACTAAATTTTGCTCCATACTTATCATTTTATGTCTATTTTGTTATATTTCCTTCTGATAAATACATTTTTAAATTCCATTTGCTTAGTATATTACAATAACTATTAAATCATCATAACTGATCTTGTTAATTAAAACCTTGAAAACAACACAAACTTTTTTTTCTTTTGAAAATGGTTTTTGAATTTTTGCCCAGTATTGTGTGTTCATAATCAAAGTGATCACAATCTAAAATGCATTTACTATTTATTAATTATACCAAACTTCACTTTTGTTGTTGTCATTAATGCAATGATCTTGCAATCAATATGCAAAGATTATGAGGTTAAAAACAATAAATATGGCGAATATGCAGGAATGTAGCTATGTGGGTTGACTTGGGCTGGAGTGCCAAGAGGAGTACTGAAACGTCCTTGGCCTGTGTTTGCTGCTGTTTCATTGTTAAGATCAAGTGTCTCGAAAATCTGGAGTTTGATATTGTATTTCTCTCTCAGTAATACAATTGATAATATTGAGAGTGAAATAACACCTCTAGTTACAGATTTTCCAATAACCCCCTCTACTGATCCTATCAGTTATGTAATTAAAATGTATGTACGTGTAATAATTTAATTACTTGAGGCAGAGTATTGAATACTAAACACATATAGGGTGGAAGCGTCCATAAGATTCACCTTTTGACTAAAGCTATTTTTGTCACCAAGCCTCACCCCTGCAAATACGGAATATGGATCTGCACCGCTAAAACCCATACCTAGCAATTTTAGATGCACAATTGCTAGCAACTGGCTTAGAGGTCCTGTGTGGAAACCAGCCTAGTTTGATAATGTATGGGTCATGTGTTCATTTGTGGTTCAACTGAAATGTTCCTCTTTCTTTTTCAGTGTATTCATGTGTATATTATTTTAAAAGTGCACATATATACATATATACAAGATCTTGAAAAAGACCCGTCAGGGTCGAAACGTTGATTATATGCTGTATGCCTATTCAGTTGATTATATGCTGTATGCCTATTCACTCTAAATAAATCACAGTATATTTTTTGAAAGACCTGTGTGCATCCTGGATTTCTACAGTATATATATATATATATATATATATATATATATATATATATATATATTTATATATATATAATCAATGTTTCGACCCTGCCGGATTTTTTTCAAAATCTTGAAAAAGACCCGGGAGGGTCAAAATGTTGATTATTTGTTGTATGCCTATTCACTCTAAATAAATCACAGTAAATTTTTTGAAAGACGTGTGTGTGCATCCTGGATTTCTACAGTATATATTTTGGATGCACTTGGATTGCACCCAGGCATAATAAAAAAATAAATAAATATATATAAATATAGAGAGAGAGAGAAAGAAAGAGAGAGAGAGAGTACCCAAGATGTTTCTGGTATGGCATGTGTTCAAAGTCTTTGTAGTTACTAACCTTTTTTTTTACCCTGTACCTCACAGTCAGCAGACACATTCTAGCCAATCAGCAGCAAACCCTCCCTCCCAGACCCTCCCACCTCCTGCATCCATTTTGAAGCTGCATTCTTAGTGAGCAGTCCAGGAGGTGGGAGGGTCTGGGAGGGAGGGTATGCTGCTGATTGGCTGGAATGTGTCTGCTGACTGTGAGGTACAGGGTCAAAGTTTACTCAATGATGAGTCCGCGGTGAACCATTCGTGACGAACCGTTCGCGAACCATTTAGCGAACCGTTCGGGACATCACAATTAGTGATATGAAGATTTTAGAATTCAAACATTTATTGAATCGAGCAACCTTTTTTTCACAGCATGATGTAGGCAGCTATCTGTGCATACATCTAATTGTGAACAAAACTGAAATTATTACTTTTTGCTTAACCTTTTCACTACCGAGCACATTTTTATTAAAAATATATTAAACAAACATTTATTTGAAGCAAGGGATGCATAAATAACATATTAACATATCACACAATTTTGTGTATAGATTGCTTTGCAGTCAAACATAACAATCTAAAAGCAAAAATGTTAATTTTCTCACATACAGTTGGGTGACAAAAATATAGAAATAACAATGGTCAAAAACCTTGCCTAGGTATTTGTAAGGACCCTGAGGTTATTAATATCAGTGCAGCTTACTAAAAATTGTAATAGAATGTAAAAGGAATAGATAGAGATAGGAGTAAGCGCTCACTACAAACAAAGTAAATCTGTGAGAATTGCCAAAATCTCACTGACAAAACAGATAACAAGCAAGGTGATAGACCGCGCCCCAAAAGCAATAAGATATAGCAGAAATATATAACATAAAAATATACTTACATCAGTTGATTCAATCCACATATGCTGAGGTAGGATGGTTTCTGCAACCTTGAAGGAAACCGAAATGGACAAAAAATAGTGCAATATGTAACAGTTATTTCAACTATTTGAGGTAGAAATGTAGTATGCAAACTCACAATAGATAGAGCTGCTAAGAGCTCTGCTTTAATGCGCCTGGACGATACAATCCCCGTCTATGGATATTTCTAGCTTTGCTTGGTAGTTCTTTCCGTCCAGCATATATGAGAAAACACAATAGAAAGGTTTTATGGTATAGTATGTATATACACAAAGTAAAGGATAAAAAGCAGTATCCTACTTATAATATGCAGAGCAATGGCCTGCTCTGGTACGAAGAGAGTTGGTGGTATTATACCAACCTAGGATATGCAGTATACACCAGGAGATGATGACAGGAATATGATTAAAATAAAATTTAATAAAATGGAAATATACCTTTAAAAATATAAATACTTTATTTTTAATTAAAAAAAATAAAAAAAATATATATATATATATATATATAGATATATATAGAGAGAGAGAGAGAGAGAGAGAGAGAGAGAGAGAGAGAGAGAGAGTGTGAGTGTATACAGGGAGTAAATTCTTCCAGTACCAACACTTTCCGCATTTCACGCAGCTGGGCTTCCTCAGAAGTGTAGGTATTCCTTTCAAGTCCTGGTTTATATGTGGTATCCATCTTCAATTGCTGAAATCAGGTATGAAACCAGGAAATTGAATCCTACACACCTGATTTCAGCATTATGTAGCCATACAGCTATTTGATACTGGTGTCCATCTCCTAGCCTTGAGTATAGCCCTACTCTTCAACACAAGTTAGCTAAGATGTAATAAATCAAGCAGCATCAAATCACATGGTTGTTGTTGTTGCTATGTTCCATGTGTGGTCATGATTATAACATTTGTGGCAGACCCTTTACTCTGGTCACAGATCATTACCACTGTTGTCCATTCTACACCCTCAGAAGTGTATCTGTAACACAACAATAGCTCGACCTTAGCAGGTTGCACATCAACTTGCAGCTTTCAATTACTCAGTTAAATATAGATGCCACAGCAAACATACTAATGTGGATATGTTTTCAATTTTATCAGTGCTAATTCACTTGACTTGTGAGTGTAAAAATGTATTTTATAAACAGTAGTTTAAACAAAGTCAAAGGTACAGTGGCAAGAAAAAGTATAGAAACCCTTTAAAATTAGTTTTCTGTATTAAATGCCATAAAATGTCATCTCATTTACATCAAAGCCATAAGTATAGACAAACACAGGGTGCTGAAGCCAACGGCACACACACAATTATAATTTTCTATGTCTCTATTGAACACACCCCATTAAGCATTGTGGTTTTTGATTATTATAACTTAGATTAACAAAAAATCAGTTTTTACGACAAATTTATATATAAATGGATTCATATACTTTTTCTCGCCACTGTATAAGTGAACAATCCATGTAGTATCATACAATTCTGTAATTACTTTATGGTTTATATTTTAACCATAAATACTCAAATATTTTATTTATATATATTCCAGACATATATCTGGACAGTTATAACTGTACTCCATATATGTATGATATGTATCATTGTTTATTTCCGGAGAATTTACTATGTCAATTGTTTCAAGACTTTTTGTTTCACTATATCACATATGTATATGTTGGATTGAGTCCAATTGCACTGTGATGATTTCTTCCAAGTGGTCCCCTATATAGAGAGAGGATGGTGGGATACCTTTAATGATTTATATAATATGGTTTTCTTGCCCTTGTTGGTGGTCTCCAGTTATGTACATACTGCTTTTGTACTCGTAACTATTTATTTGTCTCTCTTGGAGTTTTGAGGGTTATTTATTGGCGTGGGACCTCTTCAAGGTACGCTCGCATACATAGCACTATTCTAGTATATGAGGTATATCATTTGGCACTGGAAGAACTATGTTTCTGGTTTTATCTCTCACCTCTTCCCCCTACTCTTTTTGTTCACATTGATACAACGCATAGTTTAGAACAACCGGCGTGGGACTCTTAATGGAGCCATATCATACCATTATTATTGGTCATAACATTATGTGTATTCTATCCCCCTGCATTGTCTACACACTATGGATTATATTCTGATTGTAGATTTTTTTCTTTCTTTCTTTTCACTTATTGCTCAATTAGCCCACTGAAGTTCAGCTAGTTGTTGTTATCAGGGGTGTGCTCTGTGTCTTGTTGTTTTCTGGTAGATAGAAATTTTCTTTGCCCTGTTCTTGGTATATACAATACGGACACGGTGTCCAGTTTCCATGGGAATGACCCATAGTGACGTCTTGACGCTGGTCGTGATGACGTCATTGGGGTCATGCAGTAACCCATGCAGGCTCTGATAATGGCAGTCGCAGTTAGCACCCTCACTTATTGGGTAAGTGTACATTGGTGATGGGTATATATGATTGTTTTTTAAGATGTTATTTTATCCTGATGAAAGTTTGTGTTACAAACTGAAAAGTCGATCTCTTAACAGTGGACATTAAAAGTTAAGTTTTACTTTAAATATCTTCGAGTTCTGGGAGTGCTATCTCTATGCTACCTTTACATTTTGCTGATAAGCACCAGGCAATGACACCAGTAAGTTGGAGTGCAAACTATTTTTCATTTGTATATATATATATATACATATATAAATCTTCAAGTGTTTAGAGGTTAAACATGTAACTGGTACAAAATCATTGAATACATGTGTAATACTAATAACTGCATGCACAATTAAATAATTCATTGTAATACCTTATGTCATATGCTAAAAAATACCTTAATGCCTTTATTGATTTCTTTTTTTTTTCTAAGCTTAGCTTTGGAGGGATCCCATCACAAGGAAAAACAGCATCTCGTCAGCAAAAAAACTTCCATGGATGTTTTGAAAACCTGTATTATAATGGTGTGAACATTATTGATTTGGCCAAAAGGCATAAACCTCAGATTGAATTTGTGGTAAGTTAGTTTGTATATTCTAATATCTGAAAGAAGGTTTTAAAACTTTCAATTAAGGGCTCTTAGGTTTTGTAGTAAATGGAAACCCTAAAAAGGTGAAACATTCTTTAAAAACAATCAGTACACTAAATTAATATGTTAAAATAATAAACCACTACTGAATTATTGCAAATTATTGGTGCTCTAGTATGTGTATTTCAGATATATTGTAAATAGTATAACCTAGATTTACTGGACACATACATTGTGATTCTTTTCACACAGTTAAATAGTGATTAAGATTTAAAAATGTCCACCAAGTTCAGACTTTTACACATTTGTATATACTGTTGATCCAAAAGAAAATTAAAAAAATTATTTGTAGAGACGACATATTATGTCACAAAAATGAAAATATAAAAACTCTTCTTGATGTAATGGAAAACAGATTTCTCCTTGAACCAACAAGTTGTTTCAAAGCATATTAAATACGTCATTGAGTATTTTGGTTTTCTATGAAAAGCATTGAGACCTTTTAAATTTTTACAGTTTCTGTATTCTGTAAATAATAATTTTCTCTGCTGTAGGAGAAATCACCTTTTTCCGCTTTAAAATTGAAAAATGTAAGTTTCCACGATGTCAAAGACCTATGTAGATATAAATAAGTTAATAAATTCACTGTAATCTGATTCACAAGTCAGTATGTGAATGGTGTTGTATTTTAATTTTTTTTTTTTTTTTCAGGGAAATGAATCTTATATTTGTTCGGAGCCACAAGTTGTGCCGCTTACATTCGTAAATATGAATAGTTATTTAATTCTACCAGCCATAGCACAACAAGATGAGGTGACTGTCAGTTTCCAGTTCCGTACCTGGGACAGAGAAGGGTTTCTATTTTCCACTAAACTTGGCACATTGTCATATAATTTTTTATTGTACATGGCAGATGGGAAACTTAAAATTAGCCTTTTAAAACATGGAAAAACATATTCTGATATTGCTTCAGGTATGTGCTTTTATTTTGTATTTATTTATCTTATGTTTTTTTGTTAAATAAATCTAACGCACACATTACAAGTGCCAGAATTATATTTTAAAAGCTAATTTTAACTGTATTGGAGTGATGGATGGATCATTTTTCTGCTTCCCATTCATTCTGTATTTCTTAAGAAAACTCAACACATAGGCACTTGTGGATCAAGATCCTTATATAGTTTTTGAAAGATGTATTTAACAGCTCAAATGTATAGCAGTGAACTGTATTGATTTGTAAAACAAGTATAAATATGAGGGAAGTAATGGAACCCCACATATAGTGTAATCTAAGCTGTGGCACACAGA